AGCTTCATCAGTCAGTGTCATTTTTCTTTGTATAATACATTTTCTGGGGATAGCACTTATTTCAAGCAGAAGGAAACATTAAAAAAAACAGTGAAAAATTTCAGTTATATTTAAGTTTTTGGTAAGCATAAGGGGCCAGACCCTTACAAGTATTTATGGGCAGATAAAGTTAGACACCTTTAAGGATCTGACACCTATATGAATTTTTATGTACCTAAATATTTTTTTTAAAAGGCTGGCCCCTAAACCTTTTTTATGAAGTGCCAAGATATTTATTATGTATTATCCCAAGCTAACTTACAAACAACAGACAGGATTTCAGTGTAATTTTTCAAAGAGATTGGCATTGTGACCTTGTGGTTAAGAGCAGCATTTACATTTCTGACCAAAAGGAGGAGAATTTATGTTTGTGCGAGAACTGGGAGTCTTCAATAAAAGTCCTGATGCAAATTATCTGTGAATAGCTCTTTTGCTGTATTTCAATGTGAAGGACATCTTTCTGACTAACAGTTTACTTACCAGGTTTTACAACGTGTATGAAAGGACAGAATATAGCCTCCTGCATTCTGTCTGTTGGTATTTGCATCCTTTATGTTAGACTGAAGATAAGAATAAAGAAAGCATATGTCCTTTAATTTAGGTACACATTTTTCCACAAAACACAGTTTCCTTTTTTCATGATACCATTTAAGGAGAGCAGAACAATGAAGGACAATTATGGGGCAAACAAACCCATTCTGAACAATACAATCCGGTTTTTCCTTTTCTTGGCTAAACAGTCCCTAGTGAAACATCTCCATATGCCAGACAGCCAAGTTAATTCTGCTCTGTGCTCTAATAGTTTCAGATAACAGGAACAGTGAGAATCTGAAACTAGAGCTGGTCAGGAATGGTGGCTGCACCAAATTCATTATAATGCAGGCTGGATTTTATTCAACTTCCAAAAAAGTGGAGAAGGCAGTCAGGACGTTATCAACCAGTGTGATTGTCAGTTATGGTGAAGTCTGTCACAAGCTACAGTTAGAGAAGGACTATATAGCTTGATGTCAAGGAGGTCTGGACCACCACAGCTTTATAGGATTTTACGATATCTTCACCAGTGAAGTGTCCAATCTAAAATGTTTCCATGGAGCCCTGAGCATTGCACTTTACCTAGATAACAGCTAGTATTCCAGTATTATTGGCAGACAGTCAACCATTATACGTAGCCACACCATATTTTAATGAAGTATTTCTGTAGCACTGAGTTTGACTGTACAATACCGCCTCGTCCTTCAGACTCACAGCTTGAGGTAGGAAGACCTGGTGGGAAGAATTTAAAGCATAGTACATCAATAGTGGGTGCGTCTTCATGAGATACTTCCTGCTCAGTAACCTAATAACACTGCAGTAGCATGCTGGTCCAAAGCCTTGCTAATATGCTACTGCACAGTGTTATTAGGCTACTGCGCAGTAAGCGTTACAAAAATAACGTGTGCTGGTGCTACTGTGCAGTTACTGTAATTACTGTGCATTTAGTTAGTACTTCATTAAGCAAATACTAAACTAAATGTGCAATAAGTACTGTACATTAATGAATATGTAGGCATGCCCACTGAGTTATAATACCTCCTGGTTTTCTCTTAGCACTTGCCCTTCAAGAATATCTGAGACCAGGTCTGAGCAACAACAACCAGGTAATGGACGCAGGCTGTGGATTCAACATATTCAGCCCTTGGCAGGGCATATCTTTCTCCTCCCACAGTTGCAGGATTATTATAAATTAAAAAATGTGAGAACAGGTTCATGGAGTATGTTGCACGATTTCCTTGCAGGTGAAACTATGGGAAAGATAAGCAGCCCCACTGGTGAGGGCTGGAGTTGGAAGGGCCCTCCCCAGAAAACATTTTGAAGTGGGAAAATCTGTTCCATCCCCACTCAGGTCAGGATTATATTGAAACACAACATCCTTCCTACAGCTAGGTCATTGCACTATTGAATTTTGCAGGCAACCTCTGTCCTCTCTTCCTTCCCTCCTCCCTCCCACAAACGGTTGAAATGCACCTCACATCCACATGCAAAAGTGCATCAGTTGATTGAGCCTGGGGCTAAGCAACATTGTTAACAGGCCTTGATTTTGCTGGTCTACGTAGTGATTGAATTTGAGTCATGCTAGGCTTAGCTGTTTGTGTGCCAGTGTCAGTGGAGCTGTCTGAAAAAAAAAGTAAAAAATTGATCTTCCCTACCACAGCGGGTGTGAGAAGTGAAGCCATCAGCTCTACAGCTGCCTCAGCCAGTAAACTTCATGTGGTTTATGCAGTTGGCTGAAACTTGAATGATTCAAGGCTTCGGTGAGTTAAGACTATATCTATAATAAAGGAGTCTTAGGTGAAGCAAAAGGCTTGCTCAAAGAGTAAGACCAGGACAAGAGATTCGTTTTGTTTGGCCACAAATGGCCCGGTTTTAAAATGATTCTTAGAACAATTTTCCACTGACATTAGAAAGGGATTCCCAGGGTCCCAGCTGCCATGGTTGCAGTTTGCTGCCTTCATCTCCATTCGCTGGCAATTGTGCCTTTCTCTAATATGTAGCTGTTTGCATTGTCGTTTACCTGCACCCTTTTTTGAAGGATGTCTGTTTTAACACCAGTGCTGGGAGGAGTTTATTAATTACAAAGGACATTCATTAGCTGGACATTCGTTCATATTACTTTTTAAATAGGACACAGTCTCCTTAATGGCATCCCCATTAGTGTTAAAGTTAATCCTTATGCTCCATCCAGCCACGAGTCCTTCATTACAGTAAACCTGATTGTATGGAACTGCAACCTAATTCAGCTCAGAAATAAATTCAAATGTTCATTTCACGTACAAGGAGATGCACACAATCAACCCACCCTCATGTCGACAGAGAACACACGAGTGTGCCACTTTCATGTGTAGCATAAATCTAAAGAAGCCAATGGATTTGTGGCATGAGGAATATGGAAAAACATCTATGCCTGTATAATTTCAGAGCTTTAATGCATCACCAGTGTCTGTAGTTCTGAGCATTAATCTGCCTTGTGGGAAAAAAATGAGTTCCAAAAAGTGATATGAGGAAATGAATTTTTAAACTTGTTCTATAAAATTAATGCCTTTTCTCTTAATATCTCTTCCTCATCCTACGCGCACACAGATGCCATGCTCTGCATGCAGTGGGAGCTGCCTTCCTGGATCTAGAAAACCCTTTCAGAGTGCAGAGCCGGGAGGTTTCTTTGATTGTTTCCCATGTTCATAAGGAACCAAACAGACAGGCACCTCTTTGCACAGAGACGTCCCACCCGATAAAATCACATTCAAGCATTCCACGATCTGACTGGTCAGATCAGGCTCAAGAGTTGATCCAGAATCTCAATCAGAATATTTTGATTTCTTTTTCCCGTTGACACAGAATTGTAAGACTTTTCTGAGACATTATTCAGATTGTCTATGCCCATCAAATCTGCATCATTGTGTAAAGTACTCCGAAGATCAGTATCCAAACAAGGAATGAAATACATTCTTCCCAAAAGATAGTAACCTTCATACGCTTGAAGAGGTTTTTGGAATCAATGTAGCCTTCACACTATCTCTTCTTCTTTTATCACTGATTTGGTTGCAGGAACCTTCTGTAGTCAAAACCAACAAACTGGACTTAGTTACTGTCTCCTTTTCTTCTCATGTTCTGCTTCCTCTGATCCTTGGGATTTTGGGGCATTCAGAGAAAGTGACCTGTGCTCCCCAACATACCACATTTGGGGTTAACTTTTCTGTCCTTCGGGTTTGCTATGGTACCAAGACAATGCTTGCAAGTTATAATTTAATGAGAGCTTTCCACTTTTCTTTATTAAGTGAATCAGTGTCAGATGTTAAAGTCCTATTGTATTCTGGAAAGTGATTCGGTTCAACTTAAACTTCTTACTAATCAGATATTTCTCTCTGTTTATACATATAACCAGGTATATTAATGTTAGGGATCAAAATAAATTTTAACTTTTATTTTATGTATGTTCACTTTGCAGAATGAATGAGGGACAGACCAAAACTCCGTTCTCTTCTTACATGTTATTAACTGGATTATACTGAACATAAGAAAGTCTAAGATAATGGGAGAAGGTCTGCACATTGACTCATACCTTTGAGTCTGGCCCATTTGCTCTATTCAGTGGGCACATCCCCACATGCAGGGGTGTGAGCTTGCTGTGGCAAAAATAGTAGCAGCGCAAATTTGTGTCACTACTTTTTGTCACAGTGCATGCCCCTGCACATGTGTTTTGGTGTGGAACAAATTGCCCCGTTTCTGGAAAACTGCTGTTTCCCTGCTCCTCCTGGCTCCCACCATGCTGGAGGAGCCAGGGGACAATTAAAACAGTGGAGACACTAGCCAGCAGCCAGAGCATCTTCTGGGAGGATCCTGTTTTCGTATCTGCTTACGTGTGCTGCACTGCATTTTTCTGTGCCAGTTTTATTTGCTACTGGGATTTCTTGGTAGCGCATATTGCCCCCCACAATGCAAATTTGCAGCACGTGGAATGTTTTAAGATGTCGGGTGTGCAGCTTGTGGCACTGCAAAGTGGTTTGCGGCACCACGGACTGCACGTGCCTGCACATCTGTATCTGGCCAGAGTAGCATCTGTCAGTGCGTTTAAAAGTACGGAGCACCTAGACACAGGAATGCTGAAAGGATAAATAGGAGAATGACCTATTTCTGATATTCCCAACCTGATTTTCCAAGTTAGCAGTCCCTGTAGTGCATACACATTTCTGTCTATATCCACTTGGTTATGATTATGTAAATATATGTACATATTTTTAAAAGGATGTACACATGAAAAATGTATGTACACACTGAAAATCTGTCTCTGTTTTCCCTTTCCCTCTTGCACATTTACATAGCTCAAATTTTCAAGAAAGACATCACACCCTTTCGGTCAGAAAACATAACATTTATATACATGATTTATAAATTCCCTTAAACAATGCAAATCCATTTGTTCCACTATGGTACAAAACACAGTGCTACAATATAGTACACATTTTTGAAAGAAATCTGATTTTGGGCGGTGGACAATCCTCTGGCAGTTTTGGGACTCCATCCAACATTTTCAAGTTTGGCAAACTGGAGAAGACTCTAAAGGAGAAATCAAAGAAAATAAAAATTTGAGGCATTTATTTGAACAATGTTTAGATCAAAAGCACAACCTATGATTTTGAATACTGCTGAACTTTGAGGAAATAGAAATCTGGATTCAGAATCAGAGCTGAGTTGTTCTCGTTCACACAACTTGTACAAAAAGATTTAAGTTTCCACTGCTCTTAAGTCTTCAAAATCAGTAGGTACGAAACTTGTACAACAGAGCAGAGTCAAGCTGATTGCCTGATGTATCAAAGGCGAAGATTTTGTAGCTTCATCTTAGGCATCAGGTTTAGAAATTCCTAGCTAGCTGAGATCTAGAGTACAAACTGGAGCATGTTTGTGTCATATTTTTATCTTTTTATAACAGAGAACACTGAATTTTCTGTGTTTTCCTGCATTTGCAATTTCTTTTATAAATGGCTTCTGCTTAATCTGCTTTATGGACCTGATCACAGACCAGTACATCAAAACCTTCTTTGGACATTACAGAGTCCAGTGTATTATTCTATAAAAACAGTGATTTTCTCTGTATCTGTAGCTTCAGCCATTAATGCCAACTGTTCTTGGCCCCTAATGGCATATGAATTGACTCTGGTTATTTTATACGTTGCTTTCCAATTCTCTGGAGACAGAGGCACACTATAAATGTAATGAGACAGCATTATGAAATACTCACTGGCTTTCCCTCCCTTTGCTCCTCCTTATAACTCGTGTGCAAATGACATAATGTTCCTTGAGATTTCCATTGGCTCACAGTTAGCTCTCAGCCTTCTGATTTAATAGAATTTATTTTTAGATTTGTTTTTAAAGTGTCTTTAAAAAATGCAGTCATACAGTTTCCTTCTCTTTCACTCCCTGAGGAAAAGGAGTTTTTAGATTTCTGCTGGAGGGAGTGGAAATGGCCAAGAAACATCCCACAGTCCTAGTCTTCACAGGGCAACCTGACTGATTGTATATTTGTAATGAGAACTGACTAGCTGTTCTCTGTACATTTCCTGGTAGCATTGGTTTCTGAGGGGCTTACAGAAGAGTATGCTGCAGACACTGGCTTAGTACCCTTTACTGGTCCCCAAGAAAATTATTCCTCTGCATGGGCTTTCAGTCTGTGGGATGGGGTAAGAGCGAAGCAGAGATGGGCATGGACAGGGAGTCTGAGCTGGTGTAATTTACACCTTTTGGTTTTCTCCATGTGCATTTTACATCAGCTCAGCCTTACTTATTTACTTTCTCCACGTTTTACATAGTGTAACTTGTGTTACCTTTTGAATTTAGCCCACTGAGCCCAGGGTTTGTCTACACTGTGGTCATAATAGTGACTGCAGGTATATAGACATGCCTGAGCTAGCTCTGAAGTAACTAACTCAAGTGCTTGAAGAACGCTAACCACCGAAGCCTGGAGCACAATGTAGCTGTAAAACATACCTAGGAAGCATAAATTAAATAAGGCTGTTCTGCTGTAGATGGACTGCTATCAGTATCTGAGCTAGCTAGCTCAAATTAGCTCAGGTGTACCTGTACTCCTTGAGCACAAGGAAGCCTAAATCAGTGTAACATATAGAGCAAGAAGGTGAGTGTAAAGAAAAGTAACTAGCAGAGGGTTACAATAAAGAGAGTTAGAATGGGCAATCTTGCATTAGCTTACGTCTTCAACCACCTTCTTCTGGACTCTTGACACACAGTGCAGCTCGGGGTCCCTTATACAATAGGTGCATCATGTAAATTGATTTAACTGAGTTTGAATGAAAAGGAATCTAAATGAGTGAAGACTATCCTACACTACCATACTAACTGCCTTTGAACTTGAGCAAAGGACTCCAATTTAATTTCTAAAGGCGTTGTACAAATGACAAAAAGATCCTTTGTGTGGTTTAATAGCATCACACAATACACGTGCATGAGATTTGGGGGTTTGCAAAATGAGTTTGCAATGTTGTGGGACGCTCCATCCACCCAGCATCGCAGCATTTACAAGCCATGTCTGGTACCTCGAGGTATGTAGAAAAAACATTTTTAAGCTGTGTCTGTGGCTGAATCACTGCTTCTCTGAATCAGCATTGAATATTCAGATTCAGATTCTGCCAAATCAAATTGGGACAGTGATCTGAATCAATTAATTGAATCCTGATTCGGGCCAAATCCGAATCGAATAAGACCTGTTTCACACACCTCTAGCATTTATACGTGGGAGGCTGCTCATTTGGTTGCCCTGATGCCAAGGGCAAAATACACGGCTCCAAACCTCCACTTATACCACATTCCATGCCTCACAGATGGCATCACATACTGGTGACAATTCTCTTGGCCCCTTCCTGGGCCAAACTCAGTCCTGTGCCGAGCCTCTCTCATACTACCCGTAGCAGGGCCACACTCGCTCTGCCTCATTCACACGGCCCCTCTCTGGGCCTCAGTCACACTGTCCCATTTTGTATAGCCTTTCAGGACCATGCAGGCTCCCTACTCTATACTGCCTTTCAGGCTTCATCTCTTGCACTCTTGGTCCTGGGCCTTTGCAGACTTTCAGGCCACCCAGTGCAGACCCTACTCTACAATGGGGCATCAGGCGTACCGCTCCATGCACTGAGCTGATTCTGGCCCTTAGTCCTCTCTGGCTTCGGGGATCTTAAACCTGGACTCAGGCCTCACGTGTCTGTTGACATGTCTGAACCCCAAGCCTGCCCTCTGTATAGGCTAACCACCAGGGCTTGGGGGCTAAGGGTACATGAGGCTCCATCCCTGCCTTTCACTGGGGAGGCACAAGTGTGGCATTTCCTGGAGACTGCCCCACCACAGGCAGCCCCACCACACCATCCAATGCACGCAGGGAGCAGTTTCAGGGCTTAACCAGAGCCAGGACCCTCCTCCATCCCCATGGTTCGTACCCTAGCCTCCAGGTGTTCTGAGAGCTGCAGTCTGCAGGCTGAGTGATGTTGGTCCTCTGCTGGCTTTACTCTTAGGGCCTAGGCTTATACTGAGGCTGCCCAGCCCTCCACCAATCCAGTGGCCCCCTTTCAGTCACGTAACCATCTAATTGGGCCAAACCACACCTGCCAGCTACTGCCTGAAATCTCTTAAAGTGTCAGGTACAACCTGTGCTCTGTCACACATGTACACGTGCCCTAAACTAACATCCTAGAGCCCGTTCACTCTTGACTGCTGGATCGCAGGGTTTCCCAAGCACTCCGTGAAAATTCTAGGAGGAATACAGACAGCTAGAAACTGCTTCCCAGATGTCATTTTGCCAACTAATTTGTATTTTCAAGCCTTGTTGGGCTATTCTATGGTGGTTACCAGACTACAGGAAGAACAAAGCTATAGAAGCTACTGTATTTTGTCAGCATATTCCATTTAAGTTTTCATGGAACTTGGTGTTTTCTCATCGAACATATTTTTACTGAGAAAAAAGTGATGGGACTTACAGCTGCCTGTAGTTTTCTTGAAACTCGCAGGGGTTTCTCTTGAGTATGAGGGATTCTAGTGGAGTATATTTCAAGTCTGCTATTCCACTTAATGTCTCAATGTTGTTTTCAGCTAGTGCCAAGCGCTGAATCTGAGGTATCTTTGGCAGCTGTTTGAAGGATGTAAAATGATTTTTACTGATGTTTAATTCTTTGCATCTGTAAAGTACAAAAATGTATGCTATCATTTACTATGTAAACAGGAAATGTTCTGTGAAAAAAAATAAACAGGCATAAAGTTTGTATCCACAGCTAGTTTAAATCAGAGTACGTTTATTGACCTGATGGATACAGGATTTCAACTTTCAGGAGTCTGATTCTGATTTTGTTTTATATTGTTGTAATTACATTGGTATTTTTGTCTAAACAAGGACTGCAAGATTAGATCATTAGAGTTCGTACTTTTCTTTTGCACTTCACCATAGCTGGACCATTATGCCCCATCCCCAGTGTTACCATGACCACAGCAATCCATATTTTTGACGATTGTCCATTGTCTCTGTGTACATTTCCTCTCGCTGGCCTGGTATGGCAATCTTTCTTTTTAGAAGGTGCCACTGCTGACTTTGATGGGACCACTCATGGAGTAATGGCCTGCTCAACAAGAATCTGACCCAGATGGTTTTTCAATTTCTTTAGCTATCATCAGCTCAGGTTAACAGTATGGATTTTTGATTCAATTATATAAAAATAGTGTATTTTGTCAAGGACCTAATTCTGTCTCTACTGAAGTCAGTTGTGCAACCCCCGTTATGATGTTGGATAAGACCTGGAAACAATTTTTACTGTCTACCTTGGCAACCTTATGGCACTTAGGTCTGTCAAAGAATTGTCCACCAACCAAAGCCTTTCCACTCGAATTAACCTCCTTAGAATCCTCTTAAAGTTCTCCACCTGGTAAAGGTCTCCCAAGTCCTGAAATGAAAGGTTCAAATTCTGGGAATGGGAAAAAATAACAGACATTAATTTAATTTATTATTTCTTCTCTGTTAAATGGTAGGTATTAAATCATTACACTGGTCTACCTAACACATAACAAAGTGACTAGAACTGGTGTTCTCTTATCTAGATAAATTACTGGATCATGTCTGTCATCAGAAATTCAGCCTCCATCCTTATCCTTTTCTTGTCCAACAGCCCCCTCCTTTCCCTATGTTCTCCATCAAAGAACTTCTGATTTATTTTGTTTCTTTTAATTCACTCTCACCTTCATTTCTTTTCCCATAATTTCTCTTATTGCATACAACACTGTCCCATTGTCACGTGGACCCTCACAAAACCAAGTCCTTTATATTTATAAAGACCACTTTACTCAATGGTCTAGATCAGGGGGTTTCAACCTGTTTTAATAAGTGTACCCCCGGCAGCCGGACATGGAGCGGGGGTGAGGTGGGAGGAAGAAGGTGGCATGTGGTTGGATGCAAAATGGTGGCAGCATGGGGTGGTGGATGAAGGCTGCTGCCACCATGTGTAAGCTTCCCCCCCACCCCCACATCTGCATCCAACCAGCTGGGCAGTGCCTGTGCGGGGCACTACTGCTCTCACCCTGCCCCAAACTGGCCCTGTGCCTGCGAGGTGGCGGTGCGGGGTGGTGGGTGGCAGTGCTCTGTCCCCGCGTGCTCGTGCATACCCCTAAGGCCTTCCCACATACCCCCAGTGGTACGCGTACCCCTGATCTAGAGTGTGCATTTAGGCAGGGGGAAACACACAATCTGTATTATTCAAAAACATTGTGCTTCAGGGCCCTGCCACATGGTCAAATTAAAGCTGGATAGAAATCAGCTATAGTGTTGTTACACATTGTCAAGCACTAACTCTGTAGCTGGTAGGCTCTTGTTATAGCTGGATAATTATTTTTATGGTGGGATAATTACTTTTCACTTGTGGTCAGTCTTACTTTGCATGTGTGGCCAGTCTAAATTTACTGAGCAATTAACCAACTAGTTGAGTAACATATGTAACAAGTAGCGGGGGCCTCAGTGTCACAATTCCTGCCTTGCATCCTTCTTGCTACCGAGAGAGAGTAATTTACTGCTGACCAATACCAGCAATTAATTAATATCCTGACTCCCTACCAACAATGGTTCATAGATTCATAGATGTTAGGGTCGGAAGGGACCTCAATAGATCATCGAGTCCGACCCCCTGCATAAGCAGGAA